GGGGGGGGGCAAAACAATCGGTAATTGGCCGTTAATTTCCTTCAGAACCAGTACTATTTTGAGCCAATATCCTCGTCTAAATAGTCATGTGACAATTGTTTTTGTTTGTTGGACAAATCTCGCCGAGGTTGATAGTTTGAAGTAAAATTATTTAGACCCAGGAAACTGATGCTAACTGCATGTTAGAGTTAAAGTTGTTCAGTTACGGTGCATCTTCAGTAACCTAACATGTATTGCAAAAAAGCTCAAAATGCAAGTGATCTATATGTTTATCTTGATCCTCAGCCGAGAGTCGAGGCCCAAGTTGCAGTCACATGAGAGCTGCCTACCTTTTCGTCAACTCCATAAACAAATGCACTTATGAATCTCCTACAGGTACCGTAGGCCTAAGCAAAACGTATTATGTGCTGTTCGTTTTTTAATTGTCCTTCTTTTCGTCGATGTTGTTCTTTTTTTATAAACAAGAAATTAAATGCCAATTTATATTATTTTATAACGATTTCCCTTCTTTCTTTCTATAACGTTGTTGATTTCCGAAACCAGGAAACATTTCTGTTCACCATTTTCTCTTCTTTTCTATCTTGCCAGTTTGTTTTTTTGTTTTTTTCCGTTTGTCTGTACTTTTGAAAAGAATGCATCTGTTGCTTCAGTTCCTGTTTTTATACATTATTCTCTAGCTTTTTTGGTGGTGTATTCTCTCATATGTGTTAATTCAGTTGAGTCTTAAAAAGCAGGAGGTTCAGGTACATGGTACATCACAATAAAGGCAGGTCACTAACTATATTACGTTTAATTTTTTTTAAAATACCGCCTTCGAAAAAAGTGATTCCTCGGATGAGGATCAAACTCACGACTTTCAGATGGCTCTGGACCTTGTGTGATTATGAGACTGACTACTACCTACTGCGCTGCCGAGGATACGTTAAAATTTTTACTCTTTCCTATCAAAAACCAAACATCCCTATCTTTCCTCCCTCTTTTTATGTCTTTTTATGTCTTTGTTACTTTATGTCTTTGTTACTCTCGACGCTTATGTGACCGTATTGTGTCGCAAGTGCCGTAACATTCTTGCGAAAACTTAAGTTTTTTTTTACACGGTGACTAACATTACATTCTGCAGACCACGTTGTTAGATAATATGCTATCGCAGTTTTTCATCGTTGATTGGGCACCGTCACAACTTCCACGACCCGAACGACACAATTTAGATCATTTTAAGGAAGCGGGTTTTGACCCTGCCGTGCGTGTGTGTCCGTGCATTTGTGTGTGTGTCTGGTGTGTGTGTGTGTATGTGTGTGTGTGTGTGTGTGTGTGTGTGTGT